TCTACCTAGTCGGATCAACCACTACGCTGAACTGCCACAAGTGTCCTTGGATCACAGAGCGGACGCAAAATTCAAGGGGGGACAGGACATTCCAATATCACTTTCTGTGGTTGAATTGCAGATGGAGCAAAGTTCTATTTGCCATTGCAACCGACTGCATAACTTTATTTCAGTTTCTAAGTAGGTCTCGAGTCTAGTAGTAGATCATATTTCTGAGATTTGTTCACTATTTTTTTAAGCTAATGAGAAAATTTCAACCATCTCTTCTTCATAAGCATAAATCAAAAAGGTGAATACTCCTGATACATAAGATCTATTGGTAGCCTCGAACCGTAATTATGAACTTCTCTGCAATTTAAGTGTTTGTTAAGACTTCTCTAATCGAGTGTCTGAGGTGTATGAGCGAAATTCAATGTTGGTAGCGTTCGGTTTGGTGAAAAAGCGACAAGAGTCTTGCACAAACCACTCAATCATATTTAAAGAGTTGTCTGATCACATACAGTTTGTTGCGCCTCACGAACCAGATAAACCGTGGGGTGAGGCCTTGATTCATTTCGTTGCTATGACCAATACTTCCAGTTTACGGTAGGTTGATAAGCCTGTGATAAGCCAAGCAAGAGAATGTGCCTGGAGTTATCTCCTGCCCTGAAGACTCTAATCCATTGATTTAGCCGGTATATAGAAGGTAAACCACAAACTAGGTAAAAAATTATAAAATAAAAGTTGAAATTTTATTGCCACATCTGTGCAATCAGAGAATAATTCATAAAAGATTAAATAAATCAAGCAGAATGGGCTAAAAGAAGCAGACACAGCAAAACAAAAAGTGTATTTACAACTCTAGAAAGAAGGAACTGGTGAAAGCGGATGGTCGAGATGTCACACAATCACATAAGCATCTGCCAATATTCCAGTTAATTTCATTTATTTTATAGTTAAATAAACAGTATATCTTGTATCTCTTGAATAGAAGCTGTATTTACACTAAAACGATGAAGATGATCTTTTATTTAATTTCAGTTCACCTCCTTAAATGCATTCTTGTCTAGACTGTGATAAAACTCATATCAATTTCGCCAGAACTGGTGATATCATCTCTTCGACTTACTCAATTTGAACACTGCCACGTCTATTTTTGACACATAAGCACAACAAAAGTCTCTAAAGGGTGTCAGCTGGTCAAAGGTTAGGTGTGATTTTCAAGAAAGGCCACTTCTCATCCAAACTCTACTTTGGGCTATAAAGCATACATGATATAAATAGAAAAAAAAATTTATAGAATGACTGGTAGTTGAACTTTGTCACAATAAGATGAGTGTAGCTTACGTTTCCATTGGATTTCACATATGCTTGCTTTCCTAAAAGTTATTCTCATCTCGGTTTGACTTATGGGAAAGCAAGGATTTATCAAATTCAATCAAAACGTGAGGTCTGATTCTGGAAAAATTTAACTATCAGTCCTTCTTAATCTTAATAAAATAATTATTTTGTTATTTATTATTATGTATGCGTTAATGCTACCAGACAAGCCTGAATACGAAATGACCTGTATTGAAGATCTCGTCTGTTCACTGATCCGCTGACACTCTTGGGAGTTTGGTGTTATAGTGATGTGTCTAACATAGAATTTAACCTGCTTAAATTGAGTCCCGTTGAAAGGATGATAAGATTAGTTCTAGCAAAAGTAAAACTGCGCTTTAAAACAGTCTAGAAAAGAATATCTTTCCGGAAATCAAGACTAAGTGAAATTGAATTTCAACGTAATGCTCACGCATCTGATTGTGGCCGGATTTAACTACATGTTCTTCATCACTTCAACAAAATAGGGTGGATACATCTTATAAATATGATCTAATACAGATTGCGAAAGCCTAATTATAAACAAAATTAATTCTCATATCTATTCCTACAATATAAAAATGTATATAATTACCCATATAATTGAGCAAAAGAGGGCTCAATGCAAGCCAGTTCTTATTCAAGCTCTTGTGTGAGTATAGTAACCTACTAAATATTCTTAGAATATTTAAGTACTTAAGAATTACTATGAATAAAATTGAAAGGATTGTAGCAGAGATACTCAATATGAATATAATTGTAATTTTCAAAACGCGAATATTTTCACAATCACTATCACGCTATACATTAAGATATACAAGTTTGATGCAATATCGCTTGTTAAGGGAGGAGAGGGGGCGCCTCAAATAATACACGAGATCGCCTGATTCTGGCTGGACAGGCGCCAGGTCTACAGAAGCCTGATCAAAGCAAAGACAATACAGACACTCACAGGCCCTAGAACAGAGAGACCAGCCTCATTACTCAACCTCATTGTGCAAGGGACTGGGATGGAGTCTGATGGTCGTGTGAAGTGACAGACAAAAACAGTTACACTTGTGATATTCACATCGATCATTAGCGTTGTGCAAAGCCACAAACACATCAGCAGAAAGTGGGTTGCTGTGCCCAGCCTCCATCTTGGCAACTACCTCAAACATAGTGCAACATCCAGTTTGTCGTCTTCCTCGCTTTTGAGAAATCGGAAGTGTGGAAGTCATGTAGCGCGAGCAGTATAACAAGACTCGAGTCGCTGAGGCTAACCAGTTTGTATGCTTGTAGATGGTTTTTCGAGTCCGCGTGATCCAGTCGCTTGGGCAGACACTTTTGATCCACCTGACCGCGGAGGCGCGACTCGGAGAAAGAACCTTCTCCGAGTCCCTTGGAGGAAAGAGACTCAGAGTCGGGTCCGTGAAAATGGGGTCACATATACATTCATCAAAATAATAAAAAAAAAAATAAAAATAAAAATAAAATTATGAATAATAGAAAAATATTTCGCAAGTTACTTTGTGTTTATCCAAGCCTTTCTCTGCTTATTATATATCAATCTATGCGTGTGTGCATGTGTATGCATGCAAGCCAGTGTGTGAAAGCAGCCGTGATAACTCGGAGCATAAAACCAGTCGAGGGCCATCATTTCTTAGAGCCAAAAAAGGCAATTGCGGAATCCGACAGGTTCTACTTGTTGACTTGATGGTCTTAAAAGATGCACAGAATGAATATGCACTTGAATACAACGTTTTTCGAGTCAACTAGACAAATCCCTTTTTTTGTGTTGGCCTTTCAATATGCTTTCTCCCAAATTAAGTCTACCAACCAGACATCTGAATTTATTACCCAATTTCGTACCACTTCTCTGTTTGCGTCAACTTATTCCATAATTTAGATGTAAGTAGTTGCCGTGACTATAATTAATTATTGACTATGAACTTTATCAGTCGAGATCAGCTAAAGTTATATGAGAAATGATCGTTGAGCTTCCTTCAGAAAATAAATGAAAAATTATATGTATGCTAATGAATATTTGTTAGCATTATTTTTGTTTGAAAGTAGTGAATGCACAACTAACATATTTAAAAGATTCAGCAGAATAAGATGCCGGCAAAACGTCTGGGAGTGCACCCAGTCAGCGATTTAAAGCTATCAGTAATGTTTGGATAAGAATCATGCTAATCTGGGCATACTTAAAGTGATAAATATAATCAAAGTTAGTTTAGTTTTTCCAACAATCAGTTGAGCAAACTTTACGATACCATTAAAATTCACTTTGACTTGCCTTTAAAGTTTATCCCATCCAGCCTGGACTGGATTTCAGTTTCGGCCTCGTAGTTTAGAATCCCCAGGAGGACTCGATTCCGGAACGTGAGCATCAACATTTTATGAAATGTATTTAGCCTTTTTTGTTTGTGATGATAAAGGGTTGTCAGGAGTCGAACCATGACAGTGCAGAGTGTACTCTCAACCCGTTAGCCATTCCAGGCCATTGCCATAAGTGATCTTGGATCACAGGACAGATGTTAATTTTAAAGAAGACCAGGCATTTTTTCATATAACATTCGTTGGTTGGAATGCCGATAAGGCAAAGTTATATTTGCTATGACAATCAAATACATTACTTATTTTTCGTTTATAGGCAGAGTTTTGCAACTACCAGTAAATCATATGCTTTACTGGTAGTCTCTAAATTCTGCTTATAATAGAAACAACTACTTTTGTTGTCATCAAAGACATATTAACCAAGTATATCAAATTTCCATATATATATATATATATATATATATATGTATGTATTGTTAGTTATTTATTTATATGAAATATATGATTAAATTTCTATATATATGTGTGTTAATTAGTATATATTTTAGTAAGGCTGGAGCTAGTTGAATTAATGAGCTCAAGATGAAAGAAAAGAATGCGATTATGTTGAAAGCCTGTCTCTGACCGACCTTTCTTAGTTTATCAACTGCCTAGCTCCCTTTTTTCACCTATGCCTCTTTAAACAAGCATTTTTAGTAAGAATCTAATCATAGTGGGTCGGCTGATTTGACGCTTACTTCAAAATAACTTTGCTTAAGAAAAGAAGTCGTTTTACATTTAGTTGCTATTGAAATCGACAACGCTACTTACTTTTGATATAAGTAGTTAGGTGTATTTAAATACTGATAGATAAGTCATCTTTTACAATCGAATGCATAGACCTCAGGATTCATTGCATTGCATCTGTCCCAAAAAGCTATTTCATCCTGAATGAATTAAAGTAGACTGCAATAAAGTTTCTTATTTGTTTTGCCATGTTACCAGTACCCAAAATACGTGTTGTGGCGATGCTTTCATGTCGCAACTCAACCACTTGTAACATTGACATCCTGAGGACTACTAATTCATTTGTTTGGTTAAACCCAATTTACCGTCCTTAAACTACCTTAAGCGACCTCTGCAGACTTAATTCTTACTTAGGAATAAGGTATAGTCTCATAACCTAGTTTCGCCTAGAAAAAGCATTAGTATTTTTCACACAAGACCCAACAATTCTATTTCAAAATACGCATAAAATCAAGTTGCATTTGGAATGTAATAAGAGAAAAAAATTCATGTTGGAACCGCCGCTGATACTTGTCTAATGTTCAATGCTGAAGAAGAAGGCTAAATATTATAATAATATTATATTTCGTTTTTGATTAGTTTTCAACACAGCCAGTTGTACTCATTCTATTTCGTTTAAAATAATGAAGAACTGGTAGTTTAATTTTCCCAAAATACCATGAGCAGGCATGGCATTTCCATTTCATTTCATATTAAACGAAATATGATGAATATAGCAGAAATATTCTAATAGAGCAGTCGATTTCACCAATCGTGGCACCATATCATTACATTTCGGGCGTTTTACAATACTCTTACGATATGCGGATAAGAGTTTGGTCCAGAGGAAAATCCTGGCTTATCATTTTTGATTTCCCTTATATTTAGAGCGACAGTATTTGTGTGTATGTTGTGTTTTATTAAGGGATGATAAAGCGAATTCCCCCTAAAAAAAATCATCAACAGAGTTCTCTTCTTTATCTACCGTTTGGCCTTTTGTGGAAAATTCCCGTGAAAGCTGTTTCCGAGGCAGTTTTACTAGATTTAGGTAAAAAAGATTGCTAAACTTTTGCCCTTTGAATGACCAAATGTACGAAAGAGGCTTGGTACAGTCTCTTAAGTGTCTCTTAATTACTTTTACTAGATTGCGATTACTTTGTTGAAACGGCCCATTTTTTTTATCCATTAAGTCATCATTTGTCAGATTATTTGAGAGATTTGCAACCATAGGTTTGAATGTGCCAAAAGGCCCTAGAACTTTGATCATCCAAAGGTCATTTTAGATTAACAATGTTACACAGCTTGTCTAGATAGATTATTTAGGACTCAGTCTCTCCACCAAAATATTAAGGCATGAGAAGTTACAATGTTGAGCTGCGCGAGGAAATTGACTCTATTGTTTGATACTTGCTGGGCTTAATTTCATTTCAAGAGAGCGTGTGTGGAAGTGATGGCGAGCTTCGAAAGTTGATGGCATCAGAAGACGACAGCTGGTCAAAAGGAGCCCTCCACTATCTTCTGGTGTGGTCCATCTTCGATGCTCTTCAAAATTTAACTCACTTTGACTTTAAATGAAAAAGTGAGATCGGCAACTACTATTTACAAGTCAGTAGTATGGCTAACCAAACTAACATAATATAGTGTTTAATCACGAGGCTGACAAGCCATTGACGAGTAGGTGAGTTCTAAGCTCACGATTTCTAACTTAAGGCCAGTTGTGGTCAGAAATTCTTGCTTCGAAGAAGGCGTCGTCAGACCGCATTGCCGAGGCTCATAACCTCCAAAAGAGAGGAGGTGATTGTAATTAAATATCAGCAGCAAATATCTACATTAGCAGACATTGCGACTTGTAACTGTAGCGACCGGCATCGCCTTGGCTGTCATTTACTCGGCTGGCGGGGGTAATAGCTCTGAGGTTAAAGGGAGATAGAATGCGTGTATGTGTGTCCTGAGAGTGGAAGAAGAGGATGCCGATCTTTAGAGCCCGTCTTTTTCTGAGCTAAAGGTCATGCTACAAACGGTTGCTAGGCTGGCAGTTGTTCTGGAAGGGACAGGCTGGCCTTGTAGTGGTCATTGCATTTGGCGCCTCCCTGCCGTCTGATAACCGGGGTCGATGAAGTTGTGCTCTTAGTCCAGCCGATCGCGGCGCAGCTACATCTTTGTTGTGTTTACTTCCATTTTGAGTAAGAGTGTTTGATGAAAAGCTTCGAAGGTTGATTCCACCAGAAAACGACGGCACTCCTCTTGATCAACTGTCAATTGGCTTTACAGAAACATTCATGCTGACGCTGTTTGCTTGACTCGTTAGCGTGAATTCGGTTGTGACGATGATACCCTCCATGGTCTGATGATGTTCGTTACTTGACGTACGAAAGCTTAGCACCTTTTTACAGTAGTCGTAAGAGATTGTCTCGGAAACAGCGTCAGCATGAATCTGCCAGTAAAGCGAATCGACAGCTGGTCAAGAGGAATCGGCCGTCGTATTCTGGTGGAACTGACCTTCGAATCTCTTTACTTAACCTTTTTACTCGAAATGAAAGTAAGCTTAACAATTTTGAAACAAGAGATTCCTCGAAACACAACTTTTGTTCGCAGCTACATCTGATTAGAGGGTGACCAAGCAACCAATCTTTGGGAAAGGTCTGGCCGTACAAAATGGCTTTGAGGATCGTCCGGTTGTTCTCAAGACTCTTTCTCCCCCTCTCCTTTCTTCACGTTTTCTCTTTCTCGTTCTTTCACAACCAGTTGGCAGTCACAGCATTTGGTGCTGCCTGGACGGCGAACTTCAATTCTGATAATTCTATTAAATTCCAGCAATGTCTAACTAGGCATTCTGGATTACTCAGCACAGACTCGTCGAGTCGAATTGTCCATCGCTGGTCCATGCCAATTGGAGACTCATGTTTTCGCACAGAGACCGCTGTTCTGTACATTGTCTGTACATTGCTTCCAGCAATGGTTACTCTTCTGCATTTTGTCATTCACGGGCGCCAGTTACTCAGCCACTGACCGCTTTGCATAGTCCTGACTCAAATTCGCTTTGATCGGAAATGTGAAAAAGATTGGGAAGCTGGAGCAAACATTATATCTGCTCGAATAAGCA